GGGACGGCCCGGCCGCTCGCCTCCGCACCTAGCCCTTCAGACCCAGTACTGGTTGTTCTTCAAGGGGGGGTTTGAAGTCCGGCAGTACTGGAGAAGCTCGGGGTCCTGCGGCGCGCCGGGCCCCGTGCCCGGGGGCGGAGGGCCCGCTCCCTTGCCCTCCAGGGTGTTCACAGTCGTTAGGGGGATGCCTTGGTTGGGGTCCGTCTTCCGGAAGGTCTCCTGGTCAAGCACGGCGCCATTCTTCGCGTTGGTGGCCGGGGCGCCCTGGACGTGGTGCTTCCCTGTCTTGTTGCGCTTGTGCAGGTAGAAGAGGAGGGGCAAGATGAGAGCCAGGAGGAGGAAGATGAGGCAGATGGGGATGATGACGCTGAACATGTTGGCCTCAATGAAGCTGAGGAACGTGCCCCCCTCCACGGGGCTGGGGCTGGGCGTGGCGCCGTGGCCGTGCCAGGCGGTGGGGGGGACGCCCAGCTCGCTGGTATTGGGGCTGCTCCGCGCGGTGCCCCGGGGGTGGGGGGCGGGGTGGCGCGTTGCCCCGGGTCTCTCGAGACCCTCACGACACGGCTGCTAAGGGGCGCCCTGCGGATTTTAAATACTGGGATTCCCTTAGTCCGGTTGGCCAGTTCGCTCGCGTCGAGGATGCTGGTGCCCATCAGGGCTGTGGTACCCCTGGGCCACAGGCTCCCCGGCTGTGCCTTGACCCAGGCCTTGACGATCACGTTCACCACCCCAGGCCTGTTCGCTGTCTGGGATGTGGCGAGGAAGTGGAATTCGTCCTCGGGAGAGGAGAAGTTGGTGAAAGTAAAAGTCACTTCCCCTTGGTCCACCTGCTTCTGTGAGAACGCCTGCGCTGGCTTTTGGTTGACTTGCACTTGGCCAAACTTTGGGTCCTTGGTGATCCTGTAAAGAACATCCTGTTCCCCGAGCTGGGCAGCGCCCAGGAGGTGATCCCGGGACACCGAGGCCTTGTTCAGGCCCTGAGGTACTTCCAGCGGCATCAGGCTCACTGGGGTTGTCACCACAGGCAGCACCACGATTTCCAGAGAGGTCAGGGTGGGTGCGTGACGGCCATCGGAGAGGCTCAGGACTAAGGACTCGGGGGAATGGCTCCCGGCGGCAACGAACGCCACGTGGCCTGCGTTGATGTCTGCTTGGGTGAAGCGGTCAATAGGCACCTGGTGACTGCGCGTGCTGGCCAGGTAGCCAGCGAGGGGTCTCTGAAGGATGCGGTACTCTATCTCTTCTGGGGAACTATCCGGGTCGGCTACATCCAGGTACTCCTGGGACAGCGGCACCCAGGAGCCCGCAAGGACCTGCAGCACTTCTCGCCGCTTCACCACCTGCGGTGGCTTTTTATTGCTGCTTGTCACCGTTATATTGAAAGCTTCAGAAATGACCACCCCTTCCTGAGGAGGCTGAACAGACTGCTCCGCCCGGGGCCGGAGCCAAGCCTTAAATCGGAAGTGATCTTCGGAGGCGCCGTCCCCGTGGTGGGTGTACGCCAGGCGCCCCGCGTCCAGATCCGACTGCAGGAAGAAGGGACGTGTCCTCTCCATGGGCACGCCAGCCACCGAGAGCTGCCCGTGCCTGGGGAGCCCCGTGACTAGGAACACGACATCGTGCACGGCCCTTTCGGGGGCCGGGACTTGGCTCAGGAGGTTGGAGGCATCCAGCACGGAGGTGTCGATCTCTGCCCTTCGAGCCTTTGCAACCCGGAGGCCTGGAAGAAAATGGAAAACCCAGAGTCCTGTGAGTACGGGGAAAACCCAGGCAGGGGAATGTGCTGGAGAGCAGAGTCGGGGAAAGCAGAGCCAGAAGAGAGCGTGATACAGGGGAGAGGAGAAAAGGGGAGAACAGAAGGGTGAAAGAACGGTTATAAAGCAATGGAAGGTGAAGAGAAGGGAAGTGGGAAGTGATTTATTAGTTTGGCAAGGCCATGGGGGAAGCAATTGGGCAAACAGATCCAGGAAAGGGATTAAAGTCGTTTATTAGACATTGCTTGACATAACATCAACGCTCGTGCTTGGGGGACGCGGGGAAATCGGAAGGTAGTGCTTCTTCCTCGGACAAACGAGCGCTCCTGAAGTTGTCCCCTTGGGGGGCATAATCTCAGGAGAGTTCCTCTGTCCCTTACTTCTCCTCCACCCTCAGCCTTCACGGGCCCAGCGCTATAAACTCAGCCGAGTCCTTCATTTTTTTTACCTGCATTTCTCCACAGCTGAGTCGAGCGTTGGGGACATCTCGCCTCGAACGATATCAGCACGAGGAGGATGAAGGAATCGGAGATGGTCGTGGGAGCAACAACCCGGAACCGAATGGCATCCTGGGCAAGCCAGAACGGCTTCGGTGGCATCTCGTGCTGATAGAAAATTATCCCGCTATCCACCTAGCAGGGAACAAAAGGCAACAATCTCTGCTTAATGGCAAAATAAACCAGCGTGAGTGAAACCACGTGGGAACTGCTGGGCTCAGCAGGAGCCCTATCCCTTCATCTCATCTCAGGTCACTGCGTATGATGGGCACTGCAGCGCCAGGAGGGAGTGAAGCCCTGCCTTACGTCGTAGAGCAGGGCGTAAGCGCTACAATTTCTGGATGTCTCCCCTGCCCCATCTCTGGGCCGAGGCCAGAAGAGCTAGATGATCCAAGCTTGGTATGCCAGACAATGCCAGCGGGTGCTAGAGGTGGCAGCAGACTGCACTAGAGCCAGCCCGTGTACTCTGAACTCTTGTTCTGGCTCAAAGGAGAGAGCAGCCAAGCCCTCGTTATGCAGTAAAATGGGAATTATTGCCAGCAAGCGCCGCAGGGCCCGCTGCGCCTGTGCGGCTCCTGGCACGCAGAGCTGAAGCTGCTGCACAGAGCTCACAGTGCCTCTCCCGTCAGCTCTGCCAGGCCATTTCCATCCAGCAGCTGGGGAAACCGAGGCTCAGAAAAAGGTCTGAACTTGCTCAGCATCCTCCAGCAGGTCAAAAGAGCCAGGATGCCAGAGGCCAGGCTGCCCCTGAGGGCAAACACTGTGGCAGGCCTTGCAGGTAAGTGCAGGAGCTGGGCTGGGCAAACCTTCAGCATATTTCCAAGTAAAGGAAGGGAGAAAACCGGACCCAGAAATGTAGCTGCGCAGCAGGTGGGGGACCATGCATGGGGACACGACGTAGCTTTCTCCAAGCAGGCAGGAACGCAAATATGCCACGGGCCGTAAGCCCTCTGCCCTGTGCGGGCGCAGGGAGATGGCACGGGAAGGGAGCCAGGGCTGCACGGAGGAGTGGATCCCAGCCCTCTCCAGGGACGGTCTGCCCCAGAGGCGGCGTGTGACCCGGCCACCGCTGCAGGGCCTCCTACCGAAATAGCCCGTTGCATCGTGGTCTGGTGAAGCCTGGCTATGTAGGACGTGTGGAAGCGCGGCTCTGCTCAGAATCGGAGCGTTTCTGGCCGTGAGCATCTCATCTGGCGCTGGCCAGGCCTGGACGCCTCTCCACCGCGGCGTCAGTCTGCTCCAACCCCGCGAGGGAGGGAGCGGCGCTGAGCTCTGCCTGCTGACGCTCTGGCCCCGCGTGGGGTCAAGCGGCACGCAACCCTCGCTGCGCGGCCCAGGGACAGGG